ACACCACATGTAATTCATTGTGCCAAAGAAACATAATCAGCAACTGAGGCTGACATTTTCCTTCTTGATGGAAACGACATTAATCAGCAGCAGTATTGGTAAGTCCCAGAGATACCAGCCTCAATCCGTCAATTAAAAGATAATCAATCATGTTGATGACTGCTGTTCAGTCAGACAGCGTCAGCGCTTTCATCAGCGTTCGCATTCATCAGAAGATGATTAGTGAGTCTGAAAGGGTTCATTTTGAGTTTCTCTCTCTATTCATAAGCTGTCATCTCTTTCTTTCACTCACCTTCATGTCTTGCTCTGCGTTCATACAATACGGTTACTTTTGAAATATTATATTTAACACAGCAGCAAGGCCCCAACCGTGACTGCAGCCTTTACCACAGAAGAATAGACACCCAGCTGGCAGTGAGAACCACACACACGCGTTTCAGTCAGGAATGAAGGACTCGTCGGTGTAGTTCATGTTCTTACCTCGAGGTTAAAAGAATGTAAGGATTTCACTAAATTAACAAGGTTTGACAACTTGATAACTGTGATGCATCATGGTGCATGTAGTTTCATAATTATATACTCAAGGCAACATTTAAAACATACAGAAGCGTTCTCAAATGAGTGTAGTCTGCAAATCAGCCAGTGGAGGTCAGCTAATTCGTCGTTGTGAGGTTGCCGGATATTAGACAGAATCAGCTCCGTTTCCATCGTCAGCTCGGTGGACTGGGTGGATTCTAAGTTCTGGATCCTGCAGGCAAACTGTGAGGCTCACTCCAGAGGTGGAAGTCAGCAGGGAGAACACACACACACACACACAGAGACACATATACCCAGCCTATCTCCATCACCATGTGTGGGTCCACAGGGAGGGGAAGTATACGGTGACAGGACTCCCTGCCACCCACACCTGCCTCCTCTTCATGCTGCAGAGTAGAACACACACACAGTACGGGGTATCTCTTTTCATGTAAAATGCCACATTGGATTGCTTAGTTCCTCCATCTGAGTTCCTGTTTGGTCCGTCATTCATTTGCCAAGAAGATTGCAAATGAGAAGGATTGGAGGTTTCAGGGACATTTCAGTGGGCTTTACTGTCCCTTTATGTCAGATATACAGCAGCGGTAACAGCACTGAACTAGAATACATCGTATACATGATTATTACCTGAAGACTCGAGCGTGTCATCCACAGTGGGCCTTTACCGGCCGCGGCTCATTGACTGCAGTTCACTTTTGCTGCTGGATGCTGGATACCAACATTATAACTAAACTCTTTTTCACCTTCCTGGAGGCGATGAGCGGTTCTCGATGATTTAAAGGGTACGCGCCCCAAATGGCCACACCCCGAACGGACACTGCACATGTCAGTAATAATAACAAATGACGTTATAAAGCGTTCTTATTCCATTCGTTTTAAGTGTGTCACTTATATTATCTGCATGTTCCAGCTTGATTGCAGCTACTTTGTCATTGTGTTCACACAAAGTGAAAAATTGAAGTGCAAGACGTAAGACTGTTTTTGTGATTGCACTAGTTCATCAAATGGAAGTATTCTCGATTTCTTGTGCATCATTTATACTAATTTCCATAATAATTCAGATGATATATGATATATTTAGTATCTTCAAAAACAAAGATCTCCTCTGGCATTTCAGAATAAAGTTCTGTGGGTTGAAGTATTTGAATGCAGGACTTATTACTGTTATTATAGTATTTGGTAAATGGTCTAAATACTTCTTCCACCGCTGCTCAGGGAAACCTCCCTCTTAGAGTAAATATTGTTTGTATGCTATCAGAATTGAGCCCAGGTTATCAGCCCAGGTTATCAGCGGCAAATGCTAATGCTGATGTCTTTCACCTCAACATTATCATGAGTCAGAACTCTAGCTTCCTCATTGTGTGCCTCTCTTTAGTAAACCTTTTTTTGTGAGGATGTATCTCCCAGTGTTGGAAAGTTTCCAGCCTGTTTTTGGACTCAGATGTGGCATCTCCAGTGGTATCTGTCCTCCAACCTAATGATTCAAAGGCCGTCAGTTTCCACAGAGCGTATTAAACATATGACACTTGGTGGGCTCTTCCATCTAAAGTGGTTTACAGTAGCAGGAGTGCATACATCTTGAGTATGGGTGGCCCCAATGGGAGCTGAAGCTCATATCCTGACAGTACTGGTGCTGATATATGTTCTACCCACCAAGCTACACAGAAAATGAAATCCCTAACCTTGGCAGCTTTAGTGCTGGGCTCTACTCATTGAGCTCCATGGGAAATTGAGTTTCTAACCCTTGCAGTATAGCAGCACTTATAGCTCTACCCAAAGGGCTGCAAAACTGCAGAATGTCACAGGACAGATAACACTGGCGTTTTCCTTTGGCTCTGTCGAGGTCAGCGGGGTCACAGAGGCTACACATATACATGCAGTTGTGTTGTTATTATAAACATAACTATACAGCAAATGAAGACAAAGGATGGTACTTTAAAAAGGAAACTCCTAGTTCCTGCAAACAGGTACCCATGTTTCTTGACAAATTCCATAACAAACAAGAGGCAACTACATCTAATATTTGAAGTTTTGCTTTAGTATTTCAGGTTTAAAGGTGCAATGTGTAAGATATGGCCATGATTTTAAAACATTAACAGGATGTGAAGAGGTTACAGTGTCAAAGTTATGTCAAAGTCACATTTTGTGTTGCAGACATATCGACTAAATTGAGCATGCTAACCGACACACTAAGGACCATCACAATCTCACTGCCAGCTCGTCAAATACCGATGCTTGGTCAGCGGCCTTACGTTTCAAACTACAGTGCTCTACTTACCCCTCCAATGTCAGTTGTGGTCGTTGTGACACACGTTACATGCATAGTATCTTTTCAAAATAAACTAATGTCTTCAGAGGAAGTTAGGTTGAGGCAACAAAATCTCTTTTTAGGTAAACTAACAATCACATATTAAAGGGGGGGATTTCTTTTTCTTTTTTTGACTAAAACAAAGCTGCCCTGGTTTATTCTTCACTTTATTCTGCTGTTTTATGTACATATCAAATAAAAGGCGTGGCATTTAGCTCCATACAAACAAGTATTAATTACTTGTGGGATTAGACTACATTGTCTTTTCTCAGATTTTTATTATTGTGTTAGTTTTTAGTCTTCCCTGAAGTTCTACGCTCTTGGTTTCATTGGTTTGCTTTGTGCAATGTTGGATTTATTATTTTTTGGAGGAATGTTATGTTTAAAAACCATCCAAGTGGTTTCGTCTTCAGCCGTCGATATGTTGATGTTCCACATTGTTTTAAATATGACACATTGTGGACTTCCTTTGAGGGCTCAAATCAAATTGTCAGTGGTTGACAAATATTTGTAAAAACCTGAAATTAGATTTTTTCCTAAAAGCTTTCATGTGAGAGTAGCATCTTCTCCTGTCCCACATCCCAGGTGTTTTTGAAGGGAGAAATCAAGAAGGCAGTGGAGTGAGGTCTTTGGGTCATTGGTAAAGTGAAAAATGATCCGCTTACATCCAGGCTAACATTGCCAGATAAGATTGGGGGCAGATTGGACACAGCTTTTCGCATTAGAAAGACTAGCTCACCCACTCTAAGATGTAGGGCAGGACCACTCAGGAGATAAAGTCACTGTCAGTGCTGTAAAAGCCAGCGGTGACACCACTGACATCAGCACTTCCTCTAGATTATTTTCTTACTGTCAGTGAGAGTTATATTTCTTGTCCTTTAGGGCCAAGGGGATCCAAGTCACTCTAGCGATGATTATGTTTTAAAACTGCAGCTCTTCAAAGCTGCATTTAAATTAAATTGTTTCATTCTTTCTTTCTCTTTTTATTAAAGCCAGACGCAGATTTTTAGTGACGAAACAATGACGACAAATTTCCCTCATTCAGTACTGTAGTCGCAAAATAATAAAGAAATAATAAAACAATGTTTAACCTGGAAGGTCTTCATTTTTTGCATGAATGGAATTGCACCACATTGACCTACAATGGTCAAATTTGCATAATTATGTTAGATGTTTATTTTAACAGCAGAAACCTAGCAACTACACTCTACCACTTTAAGTTATTGGCTGTAAAACTGCTACAAAAATATAATTGTGGCTCAAGTGTTAAAATGCGAGCTGCTTATTAGACTAAAATGACCTCTGACCTCTTGTTCCCTTATATGTTTTACACGGCAGAATGCACACAAGCTCTCAAAATGATGCTGTTCAGGCATGGAGGACATGGAGCGTTGTGCTGTGTGTGTACTCTTATACTTCTATCTTTGTGAGGACCACCTTGTGTTTTAGGCTTTTAGAGTGGACTACTAGCAAAACATGAAGTCACGTTGCATTGTGGGTAACGTAGGCCCCAGGTTTTGACACTGAAATAAAAAAAAGAAGCTCTGATTTTGACACTTTCCATTTCTCTAGAACACTTTTTTCTAAACACTTTTCGGTATTATATATTGAGAGTTTATGACTTAAATTATCAACTGCGATTCAACAGGACTGTGTGGGTGTGTTTTGATCCAATTTGACTGACAGTGACCCAGCAGCATGAACAAACAAACCCCCAAAATGTTATCAGACTTTGATTCCAATGTGGCCAAAATTTGATTTGTGCATGACTATTTGAAATCTCTGTTGTGAAACATCTCCTTTTTCCTGAAAGAGAAGTATAGTATTCCGGTTTAGGTCAGGTAGGGATTAGGATTAGGGAATGCAATATTATTACTGGGGGTCCTCACAAATACAGTGGATCAAGCGCGTGTCTGTGTGTGTGTGTATGTGTATATGTGTCATTTCTTGTAATATTACTAGCATGTGCCTTCTGACTCCATGTGACAGCGGATACAATACCGATACAGCAGTTTACATGAAAGAACAAGCCAGTGATGATCTGGCTATCCGCTGTGACACACTGCTAACGCACACTATTCTTAATAATAACTTGTTTTTCTCTCTCTCTCCCTCCCCCTCTCTCTCCCCTTCCACCACCCGTTTGAAACAACAGATCACTTGGGCATCGAGTTTATGGGTAAGGAAGCTTTTCTTGTCTCAAATCTGCATGAGTCACGACTGTAAACGTCACAGGGCTTCATATTGGATAGACGCTGCGCCGCGTGATTGCTTACATACAGTACATGCACCGTCCATGACGTGCCTCATCACATATGGCATCATTATATCATTTGACGTGGAAACAAACAGCATCTGTATGCTCATTCACAACCTCATATTCACAACCTCATGCTCTGCAGTGGTTTAACTATTACTTACTGTCTTCATCCCTCTCCATACACATATGTAATTATATATCATTATTTTCTGCACCGTCGCTGTCTTAATGCTTTCTTTCTCTCTCTCGCTCTCCTTCACTTTCTTTCGCTCACAATTGCTCGTGAAGTGTCTCTCCCGAATTCCAATGTGCTGCAGTCTCCTTGGAAACAGAGAGAACAGAGTGGCGGGCGGGGTACAGTGAGGGAGGGTTTTATGGTGTTGGCTCTTTTGCCCAAACGCACACCTCATTAGCGCACGTGCACATGCATGGCACATGTTCAAAAGTGTGTTTCTGAAGTCCTTCGTTTTTGCGAGTTCGAGTTTCTTCCAGTGGCTGTGTGTTGGACGTTTGTGTGCGTCCCATGCACACGCCTGCGAGGCTGTGCAGGACGCATGCCAGCGGCTCCTCCTCGTCGGGCATCACAGCTGAGGAGAGCCAGTTAACGACATGGAGGCTTGTTGTTAACTAGAGCCCCTCGGTAGAATTTGGGCCCTTTCCACACAGACAGTTTGGAAAAAACAATGTGGAAATGGCCTCCCACTGGTTTGACGTAACTGCTTCTACATTCTCAAAGTAAAAAAAAAAAAATGCACAGGACCAAGCAGTGACATGCTTCTTTTTTCTGTTCTGCATTTGCAGTGAAACAAATAATAGGGGTTTCGTTTGGGGGGGGGGGGTTCAGGAAACTTGCTGAGACTATGCAAACTTGGTTAGTGACAGATGATCTTTTCCACAGAGCTATCTTGCAGGGTTTTTTCCCATTTATAATCAGTGAGAGGTTTTATACCTCTGTTACATTGTTCAGGCTGCCACATTTTCTTAGCTAACATCTCTAGTCCTGCCAATGTCTTCCCCGGCATTGTGTTAAGCAGCGCACAGATATATAAGCACCTCCCACACTCAACCCTGGCTCGTCAGCATCTGTGGCTGTGGAAGCTGTAAAAAAAAAAAATTGTAAGGCTTACATCGCAATCCACTGAAACAATATACAATACAATTAAATACACACTGTAGAAAGTGGGTTACTTGGAAAAGAAAAGTGATGGATAAAGATTTTATAAATGTTGGATCATTTCTTCCTGCAACCATTTCTGTTTGTAGCAACTGATGCCATGTCGTTATTTGGGAGGACCGTTGTCTCCCACAGATTTACATTATTTTAGTCAGACACTAATATCAAGGATCGGACAATTTATAGTAAATGGTCAAACAGTTAGATTTGGCTTGGATAAGATTAAGCTCTGCTTGTGGAGAGAGCTCTAAAAAAATCAAAGCTGGAACCAGGATTCTGCTGGGAGAACAAATCCTCCTTTAATAAACGCATCAGTAGGCGGAAATGAAGTCCAGCGTAGATTAGTCAGATGGTAGCCAATCAACTGATAAATCAGCAACTTGTTAATCATCAATAAAGCTGTCGTTACTGCTAATGCAGCACAACATCAGTGTTCTGCCTAAACCAATGTAGCGCTCCATTTGTTTTGTAAACTGAGGTTTTAAAGGACAATTCTGTGATTCATTTTTTTATAGTTTTGGTCACTCTTATCGGTAAAACTAACAATAACATTAACTGTGAGATCTGGAAAAAAGACAAATATGAGTCAGATAGTGCAGAAAACAAACACCATAATCAAGACAGGTCAGCAACCTTTGAGTTCGACAAACTTATTTGGAAGTGAAAAAGAGTACAAATTGTAAAATGATTACCCAACCACAGTTTTCAAGACTTTCTGGTTTAACTTTCATCCATCATGCTCTAGTTTTCGTTCACAGTTTACTCCTGCAATGGGGCCTTATACCACTGACATTATATGTGGATGAGTTTCTCTTTTACCTGAAAATAAAGTACTTCAGTTAATCTGGCTAAGCCTCTGTCTGATCATCTGACTGCTCATGTTTCGTCTCCAGTTTCTTCTTCCTTATTGCAATGTCACCGCGTTCACAGTTCTTAGCAGCGATCATAAAATGATGACTAGAACTAAAGAAATAAGACCCGAGTTGTAATGAGGTGGAATTATCCTTTAAAATGTTGGCCGTATAAACGCGATTCATCTTTATTTAAATCAGACCTCTGCAGGAAAGTTACTGTGGGGAACTTTTAACTGGTTTTGAAAGAATCTCAATTTAATGCTGGTTTGAAGGGCCTTGGAGGTGAAGACCAGGATGGTGTAGTTTAGTAGTCTTTTAGGACTGGAGTGATGTGGTGCCAGGATTTGGTGTGGGTTAGAAGTCTGGCAGATGCGTTGTAGACCAGTACAACAGACCTAGCATGAAATATATCTTTACAAAGCTCATATTGTTCAAATTTCAGTGATGTGATGTGTTTATTATTAAGAGCATAATTAAAGGCGTTGTACTGGACAACATTACATTCAGAGATGTTTCTACTGGCTACTTACACAGGCTGGTATAATTTGTATGTTATCCACGTACTCACGAACAAGGAAGTATAAAGACTGCAGAAGCCCACTCTAGGCGGTGGATGGGTCCGACAAACACGGATGTTGATTCATTTGTCATGTAACTTGTGTGCTTCAGTAACGGCAGTTATTGTAACGCAAACGACGATCTTTTCCTAATAAGTGGTTTTGTTGCCACTTAGACCTAACTGAGTTGTTTCCCGTGAAGACAGAAGTTTATTTTGTATGCAAAGACTGTATGCATGTAACAAGCGGAAATTGACGTGTGTTTTGGAGGAGAACGCACTTTTTGTAAGATATCGTATGAACCGATACATTGATTTACACTCTAAGCATCATGGAAGCAGACTTAATGGCAGAGCAGGTGCATTGTATTTCAAAAGACTGTACAGTGTACCTAATACTGAGAAACCAAGACATATGCTGTATGTGCACAAACTATTTTGATATTGGCTTTAAACTAAATGCTCAGTCTAATCCCATGGGAGTTATTTCCCACAGACAACCCGTAGCCATATGCATGATTTATAGAGACTCCTACAGAGTCAGTTTCTCAGGCTTAAATTAGAAATGTGTCTGAAGGTTGAGATCTCTCCACCCAGGCCATCACCCACACACGGCTTAATAGAACAGAGATTATATTCAAGAATTCTTGGATCCTGCCTTCCTCTTTATACATCTTTTATGTAGCTTGGCAAAAAGGGGGGGGGGGGACATTTTACTGTATCTAGTCAGTCATGTGGCCATCAATATTTCCTTTCCATCAGAGATCACTGAGCTCTGACTGCCAATGTTCCACCTGGCTGTAAATCAATGTTAGAGCAAAGTGTTACAGCCAGCTTTTCTTTTTTTTTTGGGCGGAAATGATTTTAAGTCGTGTTGATTTTCATTTTCTACCCGGATGGTGGAAGGTGTGTTTGTGCCGGATGGAGGCAGTTTGGCAAATGAGAGTAAAGATGAAGGGAGCTACAGTTAGTGGACAACTAAGACATATATATACCTTGGACAGCAGTGATAGGAGTTAGCATTTATGTCATTCAGTTGTCTTTTACGTGTGAGGCGAGGTAGAGAAAGTTTCCATTTTTACTCTGCACTTTTGACAACACACTCCCAAACTATGATGTTGCAGATAACCTTCTTGCCTCACTCATGGACGTGCCACGGACAATGTGCCAGTTTTCAAAACATGCATAGTGTCTTTTCAAAATAAACCTCCAATGTAGGTTTAATTAGTTCTGTAGGTTTACTTGTTTAGATTTAAGCAACAAAAGTACTTGGTTAGGTTCAGGTAAAGGTCACGGGTGGGGTTAAAATAGGTATGTTTGTTACGTTACTTTTGTATGTGGCGTTAAGTTAGGTACGTAAGTTTTGTAACAAAACTTTGGTAAAATAAGTCCCCTGAATGAAAGTTTGTTTGTTTAGCTAAACGGTGCCTCGGTGTGTCAGTATCAGACCAGCATCAGTATTCGATGAGTTGGGAGAGAGAACGGGTTGAATTTGACAACTTAGGGACTGAAACTGCAAAATATTAGGCGTTTTCTGCTCAAAGTCAAAGAAGAGAGAGGAGATGAGTAACAGGAAGGGAAGAAAGAAATCACTCTGGTGTCTTCTCAGAAATCACCTTTCAATTTCAAGCATCACAATTTCTTTGTTGTTTAGTTTTTTTCCTGAGATTTTCTGTGAATGAGTTTTGAATTCCTGGAGGTGCAGCTTTGTTCTTTTCAACTATACGGCTGCTGCCAGAAACATAAAATGCATTTCTTCGTGAACAAGTGTAGAGTAACAGAAGTAGGTCCAGAGCATTTAAATGAAACTAACGAGGAGTTTTAACATTTCTATTAGTTTTTCAGTTTTTGGTAAAACCAGATTGATGAACTAATTTTCACCTGGTTGTATAAAAAAGATTTGTTTTTGTTTTGTGAGCCATAGTCATTGACTTCTAAGAAATTGCCAAAGCTCTAATTTTCCCATTTTTGAGTATACAATATAACACATATCGACCACAGTGCTGTACAATTTTCATACTATAGAACACACAATATAGAACACACACTGGGACATAAGGCAATTTGTCATGTACAGACTAAAAAAGTTAGAATGAGGTGGTTTGCACAGTCCAGTGGCCAAGACAGCAAAGCGTTGATACCACTTGTGTTTCAGCCTAAACCACCAAACAGCTTTAGTTCACCTCAGATGACCAGAAACCTGAGGAGGCCACGCAGCAGCAGCAGTGAACCTGCTACAGGTGGAAGAGAGAATATCAAAGAAGATGAGAAAAAAATAAATGAACCATCGAAAACAAAAGCCCCAGTCACTTCAATATATTCAGTATGGTAATAG